ATTATCCTATAAATAAATAATGGGTTTTAATTTGTTATGGGAAAGATTCCATAGCAGCACTGCTTTTCCAAAATTTTGTTTCACCTCTTTTCCAACAACAATAGCAAGTATTAAATAGTTCATATTTGAATTGAACATCTTATAAGTGCCTTTAACCAGAGGTTTACTAGGAATGCTTACCTTACATACCATACATTCCATGGAAGTTTGCTACTTGCTACCAAAACCCCAACAATTTGGTTTAGTATTTCCATGACCCTCAGACAGTGTAACATATTTGTAACACTGGTGAAGACAAAATCTACATAAAGAAATCAGCTTCTGTGCACTGGCAATGCAGATTTCATTCATTATCAGCTATTTTTACAGTCTGTACTTAGTACTGTCTCTATTTCAGAAATGTTTATTCTTTTGATTTGGGGATGCATTTTTCTTGCTTTCACAAAAAGTGACTTCTAGCTCTTACTGTGGAGTTTTAGCACCTCTTATTCTTGTAATTTCACCCTTTCCAAAAGTGTGGGAAAATAAACTTGTCTTCTCTACCTGCACCATATCTTTTGTCTGCCATTACTTTTGGATGATTTCAGCTCAAGAGGGATATGAGAAAGACCTAATCAACAAAACTCAAATGTATTGATAAAACAAAGCAGCACAGGAGCCTCAAAGCACATTCAGAACACTAAAACCAGTCCACAGATGATGATGACTAACACTGAGGTCTGATGGCTAGCCAAAGTAACTGGCAGTTTGGGTTCATTTCCAAAAGAGTTTGCTTCACTGTTATGGAAATGATCACGAGAGCTGCATTCTTTTGTAGGCAATGTATTTTCTGTCCAAGAACTGAATCAACATCAGAGACACTTTGCATCTGGACAGTGATAGCTGGGCTATTGTGGCACAGTAAGAAACTGTTCTACAAATGGAAAACTTCAAGTACTCTCTACTCATTCCATCCGTTTATCCAGTTTGTAAGCATGAGGGTTGGGGGATTATTGTTATTGGTGGAGATTTTTTTTTCGGGGATAGAGGTTAACTAAAGCATTTGTGGAGGTTTTTTTTTTCGGTTTGATTTAGTTTTAGCTTTTTTGATGCATGAAATATTTATAAATTGATAATATGAGTAAAAGATTATCATTAATGTGCCTGTAGCAGCACAGTTGTACTTTAAATAAGGTGGACGTAAGTATTCTGAGTAATTGGTTCCAGTATTTTATTACTGCTCCTGCTGAGAAGTAGCAAAAACTGGAACAAACCTGCAAACTCCTGCATCTGAGTTTTCCAAAAAGGTACAGGTTTGCAGTATTACCTGCTTGTTCTGCAATTCCCCTTGCTGTGTTTCCAGCAAATATACTGTTTCTAGAGCAATGCTGCTATGTCAAAATATCGTCATATATAAATAGAATATTATTGATAAGGGGACCAGTCAACTCAGCAGCTTTCCTTTTCCAAATTGATCGGACTATTCCTTGTGAAGAACTAGATCATTAACTTCAGCTCAAGAAGTATGGGTCACTGTTTAAAATGAGGTATTATTATAGGGAATATGCCAGTAAATGTACATTTTAGGGTTTCTATTTATTTTTACGTAGTTGGGACTTTTATTTACTTAAATGTACATTTAAATGTAAGTGGACTATATGTAAAATAAAAGGAGAAAGTGCTACTGTAAAATCTCATTTCAGACTTGTATTTAATCTACACATTGTAACAGTTTCCCACGTATGGATAAGCTTGTATCCATCTTCATTTCATGTGTCTGTGCAAAGTGTAATTATCACTACCTACAAAGAGTAATTACCCCAACATAAAATTAATCAGATAGTAAAAGGCTAAAGTTTCCCTATGGTTTCTCTCTACTTCACTTTAGTTTTAGAAAATGTGTCCTTGTAAGTGACAATTGTTAGTGAAAAGCACAATTAGAAGATGCCATACTGAGCACTTCACTCACTGGTGACAGCTGTGCCACTCCCATGAGTAACGGGGTCTGCTGGGCAGAAAATCCGACGTGCCTTGGTTCTTCACTCTTTGGGGGAACCTCAGGAGCACCCGATTGTCATAGTCTCTAACATCTGCTCGATAAGCCGAGCTGCAATGGTGCAAACCAAAGAAAACAAAGGAAAAAGCCATAAGTATATGCGAGAAATACTTTGAAAAAATTCTTTATATTGTCTCAGAAGTAACTGATAGCAGAAATCTTTTCAAGCTCCATAAGCCTTGTGCATTGGATATTCACAGAGGAATTCCATATGGTGTGGAAATGCCTGGTGTCAGACCAATACCTGAGTAAAATTCAGACCTGGTTTTAATTTTATAAATGGAAGTTTGACCACTGACTGACTCTTTCTATGAAGAAGATCACTGCTGAGCTGTAAAATTACTCTGGTACCAAAAACCATAATTTTATTAGTTGCTGTTAACAAAAATAACTCCCTGTGTATGCAAGATCACAAAACAGATGTCTGATTCTGTTATTAAAAAACCCCAAAAAACTAATATGAATATGAATGAGGCTGTGTTTTCCCATTCTACATAGTAATTACCTACACTCTTTTAAATACTGGAATATTTTAATCAACTAATGGCCAGCAAGAACACTTCAATGAGTCTTCACTGTGAAGCTAGCAAAAAAAAAAAAAAACAGACCAACTGCTATGTCTTTTTTTTTTCTTTTTTTTTGCAAGTGAAGAGCAGGCATGACCCTGAAACATAAATTTATGATGCTGGTAAATAAATAAATTTGTTTTGCATGATAAGGTATCAAACAAGTTAAAGTGGTTAAAACCAGCCATGTTGATTTCTTTCCAAAGAAAACAGGAAAAATCCTTCTTTGCCAACTGGACAAGACTTAACTTCATAACAAAGCTGTTATTTCAGCCCCTTAAGAGACTCTGAAACACTTTTCAGAGGGATTTTAGTTTTAGAAGACATTTAAAGGCATAGGCCCAGAAACAATTAGCTTATTATAATCTAAAGGGTAAATTGTCCTGGTTAAGAATAGGGTTTTTGTTCTTCAGTTTTTGGGTTTTTTTAATGAAGTAATATATGATCTTGTGGGAGTAGAGGAGGGAGATTAACAGAATGAAGTTGTTTTCTAGGTGCCTCCATTTCACAAAATTCAGAAATATTCAACTGAGCCTGACAATAAAAACATGTAATACAACTTTCCACAGTGTGTAGGTTCTTCATGAGATCTGCAGCTCGTCCCTCTAATGTGGCAGGACTGCTCTCTCTACCACCTGCCACAAACTCGGAAGAAGGTTACAAATGGCTGTGTGTCCGTGAGCCCTCCAGCCTCACTTTTCTCCTTCCTCGCCGCGTTCACAGGTGGAAGCAGGAGCACAGCAACCCACAGCAAACGGGCAAGGCCTTGGGACGATGCCTACCTTGCCAAGCAGTTCTCCTCGGCAGCACATCTCAAGTTATACATGGACATCCTCTGGACATATGTGGACGCCTGGATGTAATAGGGATCCGGGACTAAGTCAGGGAGACCTGCAGTTCATCAAACCAACCACATAACAGTAAGATCAACCCAGGACACGTTTGCAAATATTTGGCTACCATCCCAGTCGTTAGGAGCCGTCGTTTTGCTACGGACCCCTGCTCTCCGTTATCCTCGCATTCCCCTTTGCCCAGGCTTATCCCAAACCCCCCCCGGCACACACGGCGCCCGGAGCCCGCGGTGGGTTCGTCGGTAGCCCGCCCCTGTCCCAGCAGCAGGGACTGGGCAGAACCGCAGGGTTCTGCCCCGGCAGGGCAGGGCAGGACGGCGGGCGGGACTCTTACCGTACTGGAAGTAGCCGGTGCCGTAGCCGGGTCTGTACCTGCTGCCCTGGCGGGGCCTCTCGTAGGTGTCGTAGTAGTTGTAGTAGGGGTTATCGTCCGTGTACTTGTAGGGGTTGTAGGGGTCGTCTCCTACCATGACATCTTCCCGGCCGGGCCTGAAGCTGCCCAGGGGCGGCAGGCTGCCGGCCCCGGCGCTGCTCCCGTTGCCGTCGGTGCCGGTGCCGCCGGCGGGGCTGGGTCGCGGCGCCCCCGAGGAGGCGCCCCGGGCCCCCGGGCTCCGCTGCGCGGCGGCGGCGGCGCGGCCCCCGGAGGGAGCCTGGTAGCCGGCCTGGAACCAGTGCCGAGCCCCGGAGCCCCCGCGGCTGCCGGCGGCGGGCTGGGGCTGCGGCTGGGGCTGGGGCTGCGCGGCGGCGCTGGCGGCGTTGCTGCGGGCGGCGGCTCTCCGCGGCAGCACCGTGCCGTTGTTCCGCAGCAGCAGGATGGGGCTGCCCGCCGCCTCGGCCGCCTGCCTGCGCCGCGGGGGCTGGTACTGGGAGCCCAGGCTGAGCAGGCTGTACACCTGCCCGTTGTTCTCCCACTGGATCCGCTGCCTCCAGGCGGCGGGTGGCGGCGGGGCGTCCCGGCGCGGCGGCTGCTGCTGCTGGCAGCCGGCGGGCCAGAGGCAGCTCCAGTAGATGCACGCGTGAAGCTGGGCGAGCAGGAGCCCCGGCGGCGCGAAACGCATCTTCTCCTCTTTCGTGGGCGCCGGCGGGTAGAGAGATACGGGCGAAACCGAGAGGGGAGGGAGGGGGATGGCGAGAGGACAGCGAGGGGCGCCTTTCCTGCTCCTCGGGATGGAGCGGGAGCGGGGGGCGGTGCGGGAGGCCGAGGGGTGCGGGCTGCGCTTCTGGAAGGGTCGGGCGGCAGCGGGGTCTCAGGCGCTGCCGCACCCGGGAGGTGCCATCGGGCAGGTCGGGTCGTCGGAAAGGAAACCCGGCCCGGGGGAGGCGGCGAGAGCGGCTTTTCTTCTCCCCGGTATTTATAGGCGAGGGGATGCGAATGGGAGCCGGAGCAAACAATCAGCCTCTCATCGTCCTCCGGCCCGCGCTGGTGTCTGGAGCGAGGGAAGGAGGAGGAGGAGGAGAGACCAGGGACTTTAAACTTGCTGGCACGCTCGCAAAGTTACACAAGCCCCGCTGGCTGGGCTGGCTGCACCCCCGCCATTTGTTCACGTAATGCGGCTGGAAACGTGCGGCCCTGACAGTTCCCCCCACGGCCGCCCCCCGCCCGCCCGCCCGCCCCGCGCGGGGGCGGCTCGGGGGGAACGGGAACCGGGGGAACAGGAACGGGGGAACGGGAACGAGGGGAACGGGAACGGGGGGGACGGGGCGGCTCGGGGGCACGGGGCGGCTCGGGCCGACGCGGCGGCGGGGGCTCCCCATCCTCCCTGCCTGCCTGCCCTGCCCTGCCCTGCCTCGCTGCCTCCCCCCGCGCCCCGAGCCGCGCCGAGCCGTGCCGAGCCTGCGGCGGGCGGGCGCGCTCAGACACACGTAGGCTGCCAGAGTATGCCGTGGGGCAGCGCCAAAGTATGCAAAGGAAAAATGCTATTAGCTCATCAGCGCTGGAGAGACTAGAAACGGGGTGGCGGGGAGGGGGAAGGGGCCGCTGGCGAGAGAGGAAACATGTTTCTGGAAAATGTGCTGGCCGGCACATCTCCCGGGCTGGAGCAGCTGCTGGTGACCTTCGTCTCAGCGCTGAGTAACAGTCGGATCTCCTTGATGACCTCTTAATTAGGAGAAAACCTTCATCAAATAAACTCTTGACTATTGACTTTTGGGTTTTGTGCATATGAGTCACACGAGAAATATATTGGCGATGCTCCTCCCGGAGTAAGTTTTCATTGAAAAGTGAAATTTCACATGGGAGAGGCTTAGCCCCATCACCAGAACAAATAAACCTAGTTTGGGTAGTGTCTCCCCAAAATCGGGCTGGGGAAGAGGAGCACGCTGTGGCCCGAAAGCCTCTCCCTTCCTGCTTTTACAACAGTTCATCAAGGCTGTGTTTTGATAAGTACAATCACCCAGTAAGGCAAATGAATTAAGGTCCATGGATTTCAGCCAAAACTTCTTTTGGGTGTATTTTTCCAAAGGCTGTTTGCTTATGAATCCTTGCAAAGGAATTGAGGAGAATACACAAAAGTTCTCCTTCACCGAAAGTTTGGTGATGAGAATATTTAAGTGAATCCTGCCAATGATGATCACTCTGCGCTGCAGGTTTTCACCTTACTCAGGTAGATTCAAGGCACCCTAGGACCACTGCCAGCTCCCCCAGGTCATGTTAACAGGTCACAAATTACTGGCCAGGTGGATATTGTGACTAGATTTTGATGGTTTTGTAGCGTTCTCCTGTCATTTGTTGTGTTGCAGTTTATTTTAATTGCACGTTACTTTAAATGGTACACAATAACAGAAAAACAGCAAAATGTGGTCCCACATTGTGGCTGTGACGGGTGGTGAATGCTGATTTACACTGCTGTAGAATTATTAGTTGCAGTGCTCATCTTTAAAGTGCTTTCACCACCCCGGATCCAGCGGTGCCGGCTGTGTGTCAAAGGTGCCCCCACAGACGGGGACTCATTGGCTCTGAGTGTCACTGGCACCGGCTGCTGTGGCTCTGGCCACACAAATGGTCAGTCTGCAGAACACTGGGGAGCACAGGGCACTCGTGCTCCAAAGACTGCAAAGTCTTCTTACCTGAGAACACATCCAGTAGCCAGGTGGGTGCTTGCTACCATTGCCAGCCAGCACCAGGACGGTGGGGAGCATCTGCTGCACTGGGCCCCCAACCAGAACAGGAACTGCTGTGCTGCTTTGGGCAGTCTGCTGCAGACGTGGTTTGGTTTGGGTTCTCTTATTCATTGTATTTGCAGGCTGCTCATCCCCTATGATCTTCCTCATTGTGGCTTTGAAAATATTATTCTCCATTTAAGGATTTGCCTGGAACAATCGGTGACTAAAGCTGAGTAAAATGGAAAGGTTGAAGATAGGGAAAATGCAACACTGAAGGAATGAGATTTCTGTCTTTTTAATCTTCCTCTAAATCTTACTAATGTTACAAACAGCAGGTTGTTGCCCAATGTGTGATATTAGACAATGTTTCCACACAGTGGGATTCCAGCCATTTTTTCTTATGCCTGATTAAGTTACTATTTTTCATGAAACTGGAGAAAGCATATTTGAGAGTGGTATTCTCACCCATCTATCAACTATTCACACTGTTTGCCATCTTCTCCATGCACGAGTTCCATCTATTAATTAATTTAGGGTTCATAAGCCCTGAAAAGCATTATTAGCATCACTAGAGAGTCATGTCCTTCCCTCAGCGTTCAGTGCCCATGTCCATTTAACTACTTTCCTCTCCCCACAGGTTGCCCAATTACACCAGGTTCTTTACATCTTAGGTCTGAGTCAGTAAGCAGTTGCAGCAATGTCTCAGAACCTGGTATCAGGTGGTAACTTATATTTAAATTTACATTTAATTGTAAGCTTTTAGCAGTCCTCATTCAGATGTTACAAATGGAAAAAAGTCTCCAATGGCATTAGTAGCATTTGGAGTTACATTAATGTGTACACTACTGCTAAACTGCTAATTCAGTTGTAAATCTTGAAAATTGAAAAATATTAACCTGTTCACCACAAAAATCAACAAAAATACTCCAAACAGAACCAAAGCTATTTGAATTTGGCATGTCTTAATACATCTCCTAAGACACACTTTTTAATGTTCTTTAATATTGATACGTGTATGAAAAAAGTATGATAGTGTAAAAAAGGGGAAGTGATTTTTAAATGTCAGTTTATATCAATCACATTATTTGTTACATTTAATATTATTCTTTAAATATCAGCTCTGTAGGAATGGGTTGGATTATTTGTGTTCTTGTTTAGTCAAAAACTGGTATGCTTAGCTAGGGTCACATGCATAAACCAAGAAATATAAATAATTTTATAAAATTCTAACAGGAAGCTAGACAAACTTAGTATGTGTTAAGTATAATTATAAACTGTTATTTTTTTCCCTTGGGATAGAAGTATTGTTTGTTGAGGAGTCACTGCAATGAAAAATCTTGAAAGGTAGGGGTTGGTTTCAGCTTTTTCTACCTGGTAAATATTCAGTGTACTAATCTGATTTATGTTTGAATAGACAAAGAACTTACTCTGATTCTTCAGTTTGCATAAACACTGAGTTGCAAGTAGATTATTCAAATTTATCTTATTTTTTAGATCTTTCTTATAATACTTTTTATTCCTTCAATCTTAAAAGTTTTTAAAGTAATTTAAAATGACATCAAATATTAAAAGTTGTGTGATTTTGTTGCACACCAGAACACTGGATTTTTCTGAAGCATGTTTTGCAGAAGATCCAGATATTTTTATTTAGAAAGTCACTTGTAAGTCTTGGATTAAAAAGTTCCTAATTTTAATGAATTCCCTTTAATAATTGGGATTAAGATGTTTTACAGTATGTGAATTTTACTAGAAACTAAGAACACTGAGCACTTTCATATTCATGTCTGTAATAAGATTTTTTTTTACAAACCAACTTAATTAGAGACAAGGGTTATAGACTTTTTCTGACATCAGTAGTCTTTGGAGCAGACAGTTATTATTTTTACAAAAGTTAGTCTTCCAGTTAAATTTAGCTACCCTTTGTATGTCTGATTTTGAAGTCTCTAATCAGACAACTTTCCACTACCATAAGTAAAATGCAAACATAAACTTTCAGACTTTTTTTTTTTTATTGCTCGGAACTTATAAAGGAAGAAACAGATTTTTGTTCATCAATGAACTTGTCAATTTGTTGAAAGAATAAAATTCCTATAATTTTATCAGCAGGTAAGGTCCTCGATTCAAAATTAACAGCCAAAATGCCACCTGTCCCTTATCTAATATTTTGGGTTTATCTATCTGCAGCGCAACACCAGTTTGTGATTGCTTTGTTTTATGCACCATGGGTAGAACTGCTGAATTGCAAATACCTGCACCAGGTGAAGTAAGTTAATCCATCTCTCTGTCCCTTCAGGATCTGACAGCTTGATCAGGAAAAGCAGCTACAGGGCCTGAGACAGGTGTTGCTCTCTTCTTGCATGGTGAGGGTTAAAGACAAAGCCTTCTGATATCAGTGAATTTGTCAAATCACTGCTTTACAATGAGGCTTTAATAGCAGTATTATTAAGCCTAGAGTATTAAAGTGTTGCTAAAGCTGAACATGAGTGGTTTCACAGGATGCAGTTACATGGTTTCTTGCTTAAATGTACATTTTTAAAGAGCATAGCGAATATTTAACAAAAAGCCTTTCACTTCTTGAATTTATAATGCGTTTCATCTTGGTATATTTTTCTAATTTTCCTATTTGCTTTCTGTCTTCCAAGATTTCTATAAAAGTGAGATTTCGAAAAATGTGAAATAAATGGATAAATATGCAGTTGCTGCAAATTTATTTAGAGACTTAAAAATCCACCAAAGCTTTTTCTTATCTTATATATCAGCATCTGTAATGAAAGCTTCCCTACTATTATTTATGTAGTATTCATGGCAATGGGATGTATGTTGTCTGATGACATATACAAAGGAAGAGAAGTCCAAGACACTCAAAGTAAAGATCTGTGCATTAACATCTGTGATCAGAACTAGAGTTCGCTTCATTTAACAAGGTCAGTAAAATTCAGGTTAGATTAGACAGTGCATGGGTAAACAGTGCCTTACTGCTTGGGTAGTTCAGTCCTGTATTGTCTCCACAAGCTGAGCAGGTGCTAAAGGACTGCTGCCATTCAGGCACAAACGCCTAATTTTATTGAAACTCATGGACACTGAGGAGAGATTACTGTGAAAAACACAAACTGGCTGAACAGTTCTATACATATCTTTGTTGTGGCAATGCTCCAAACTGAGTCTTTCCTTGTGTATATTTTGCACAAAAGCAAGAAAACCCATCTAGTAAGCCTAAAGAATCATTGAGAGAATAATTAGTTTTGAGTCGAAACATTCACCAGGTTGAGATTATGTGTGAAGGGAGAGAAATGGACAGCTTTCCAAATCTGTCATTTTCCTTCCATCTTCAGGAGGGAATGAGTGCCTGTAAATCATTAACAAAGAGGAACACTGCCCAACATACTGTAAGAACAGAATATGTCAGTAGAAATTCTGGAACATGATTTTACCATGCATCTCATCAAAAACTCTCCTAAATACCTGGATGTGATTTTTTTTTAAATAACATCTTTGTCTTCATAACCATCCTCAAATTTGCATGGCCATCACAGACACAGGTGACTGTATTTGTGGAACTTCAATGCCTGATCGAAAAAATGCCAGAGAAAATGCCTGTTTCAAATCCCAAGGTGAATTTTCATAATTGACATTAGAAAAAAATTAGTGTTATACTTAGAAGGCTCAATTAAAACACTGATCAGTATTGCCCTTCATAATGGGAATGTGAATGCATAAAAAGTGGGACACTGATGATGGTAAATAAAGAACTGGTAGAGGAACTCCTATGTCTAGGCTTTTAATTGTCTGCTTTGTTT